GATGGCGGCGGCGGCGGCGGCGCGGCGGCAGCTGGAGCTGCTGCGGGAGGAGCGCGAGGCGGAGCTGGCGCAGAGCAGGTAGCGGGAGCGGGAACGGGAACCGGGAGGAGGGAGCGCCGCCCGCGGGCAGCCCCGCGGCGGGAACCGGCCCCCGGGGCCTTCCCTCACCTCTAGGAGCCCCCGCAGGCCCCGCCGCCGCCCGGGACCGCCGGGAGCCCCGTCCCGCAGAGCGGCAGCCCCCAGCGGAGGCAGCCCCCAGCGGGGGCCTCCCCGCCGCGGGGTCCCCTCCGGCCCCTGTGGGGCCAGGTCCTCGCTGCGGGGAGCCCCGGGGCCCGCGGGCACCTACGGGACCCCCCAGGCCAGGCGCCCCGTTCCCGCCTGCTCTGACCCCCGTGCCGCTCCGCTCCATCCCGCAGGACGTGGCAGGAGGGCGTCTCGCCGCGGGAGCTGCAGCGCCGCGGGCTCTGCCTGCTGGGGCTGCGCGCGGCCGCCCAGAGCACCGGCCTCTACGGACGCCTGCTCGTCACCTTCGAGGGCCGCGCSGGCGCCCCCGGCGCCCCCCTGCCCRCACACRCCCTCGGGCATGGTGAGTGACCCGCGCCCCACGGACGGGCCCCATGGCACTGACCCCCGGCTGGCACCCAGGCCCTTCCCTGCAAGCCTGTGGTGTCACTGCTGCCATTCCCTGGACACCTTTGGTGTCACTGCTACTGTTACCTGGACACCTTTGGTGCCACCACTGCCCTTCCATGGACACCTTTGGTGTCACTGCTGCCATTCCTTGGGTCCCCTTGGTGTCACTAGTGCCCTTCCCTGGACACCTTTGGTGCCAGCAGTCTCCATCCTTGGACACCTTTGGTGTCACTGCTGCTGTTCCCTGCACACCTTTGGTGTCACCRCTGCCATTCCTTGGGTCCCCTTGGTGCCACCTGTGCCCATCCTTGGACACCTTTGGAGTCCCCGCTGCCGTTCCCCGCGTCGCTGTCGCGCTGCCTCTGCCAAGGCCGAGCAGCAGATGCGAAGAGAGAGGAGAACAGTKCCCAGCGGCAGAGGGTGAGCGTGGAGGACAGCAGCCTGGCGCTGCCGCCGTTACGTGGGTCTCGGTGCTCTTGGCACAAACCCAGAGCGGGCGCTCGTGTCTTCACCTGCCCTTGGGAGAGGTAATTGGGGTGTTACTTACCCTTTAGCTTCCAGGTGGAAGTTAAGCTGTTACTAGAAAATAAAGCCGGTGTGGACTGGTGTGTCCGGGACCTCCCCAGATCCATGCAGAAGCGCAGGGGCCCCCGGCTGCGGGAACGCTGCTGGTCTCCATCCCAAAATCTGGCACACGGCGGGAGGCCTGGGCTCGGTGGCTGCCTGGTGTCCCCTCGGTGCTGACGGCCTCCTCGCTGCCCTCGCAGGGGACATCGTGGCCCTGCACGAGGGCTCGGGGCCGGGCGCCGCGCTGGCCACGGGCGTCGTGACGCGCGTCGCCGCCTCGACCGTCACCGTGGCCTTCGAGGAGGCCCGCGAGGGGCTGCCCAGCGTGGGCCACGAGGGCTCCTACCGCCTGCTCAAGCTGGCCAACGACGTCACCTACACCCGGATGAAGAGGTGGGTGCTGCTCGCTGCGGGGGTGCCCGTGCCCCACCGCGCTCCCTGCACTGCTCCTGGCTTCTCCYGCTTCCTGCCCCCTCAGTCCTCCAGCAGCTCCGTGGCCGGGGAAGCACCCGCCTTCTCGCTGTGCCCTTCTGCTGAGGGAGCCCCTCTCCTTCACTGAGCTGGCCCTGCCGGCTCTCTTGTGCTGCAGCGCCCCAAGCAGCATGAACTTACCCAGCTGCTTACTGGCAGTGCTGCCCCTGCTCTCTTCTACCTCCCACCTCAGTCTCACCCCCACCTAGGTATCTCAGTCCCGCTTTTACCAGCTCTGGTTCTCACTGGATTCTGTGCTGTGCCTCTTCGATCCAGAGGGGAGAAGCAGGCAGCTTTTTGCTGAAGTGGCTTTGCACAGGCTGACTGTATCGAACCAGAGCAATAAGAGAAAGCAAAAATGTATGGCCAGTGTAAGGAACACGTGCAAGGCATGAAGGTTGCAGCAAGTGGGTAGGATCACTYTGCTTGGGAATGGAGCCCTCAGCTTCCAAAGAGAGGAATGTGTGTCYGCACTCCTCTGCCATTGCAGTACAGTGCCTTGGCCCAGAGTGTAGTTGGGAATCTGAAGGAATTCATATTGCACCTATAACCTTGTGTTTTTCTTCTTTGACAGGGCTTTGATTGCACTAAGTCAATACCACAGCGGTCCAGCCTCTGGCCTGATTGATGTCCTCTTCTTTTCTTCAGAGCCAAGCACCTTCAGTGAAACAGGCAAGGAGTTTTTTAAATGAGTGTTGGTAGAGAGGTTTTCTGATCTCTTTCTAGAGAGATGTTCTGGACACTCAAGTGAGAGGGGAGATTTGTGAGCAGTCTTACAATCAGTCCGTTTGTCCATCTGTCTTGTTGATTTTTCCTACCCCATGATGCCARATGTGTGGCACGTCTGCTCTGCAAGCCCAGCATGGGCACTGAGACTGCTGCTGCTCTCGGTCGGGCTTAGCTCGCAGGGCCATGAGCTGTGCAGGGGGAGAGCTCCTTTGAAACTGCCCGCAGAAGGCCAGTTCCTGTGCTTCATCTTTGTGCAAAACCTTTTCTCATCCATCCCAAACCAGCCTCGATTTGCTCTGGGAAAGACCTGAGTGCTGCACGCAAGTAGTAAGTGACAGTGCAGCAGGCAGTGTTGAACTGCTGCTCCTCATCCTGCTTTGGGAATAGACAGACAGTGTAAAAACCCTGATCATCACCAGAAGGACAGAAACCTCCCAGCTGCTCAGGGAGCTAGTTTTCTTGGAATACCAGCTTAAGCTAAAGGCCAACATGGAGCTTGCAATATCTGAGAAGGGACAGTTTGTTCCCAAATGTTCCTGAATCAGGACTTAGCTTATGGAGCATTTCTTATTTGGCTTCCTGCCCCACTGCCATCCATAAACTTCTGAGACCAGAAACTGGCAGGGCTGCTTCTGTGACACTGAAAATCCATTAATTCAGCCTTCCTGGCTCTTAAGCCACTGTGCAGTTGCCACAGTGTGAGACAGCATGAGAACTCGTGTTCTTTTCACAGCTTTCTGATTATGCTCTGTCAAGTTGGAGTTGTACAGGCTGCCTTGGCTTTATCACCAGGTACTTAAAAGCTCACAGATTAGTTTTGCCAACAGCTACCTCCAAAATACAGGCAAGTAGAATCCTCTTGTGCTCTGATCTTCCTTGATGGGAGTCTTCAGAAAAGCGACAGGAGAAATTATGCAGCTTATTCACTCAGAGGAACCCTGGGGAAATCAAAGTCTCTGCCTGCTAAAAGCAGAATGTCAGCAGAATATCCAGTGGCTTGGCAATTGCTGATGAATGGTCTCACTGCATCCCTGGAAAGTGGGGAAGTATTTATCTGGGCTGCTTCAGCTGGGGCAAGTGAAGGCAGAGGGCAGGTTGAATTGCTTAAGAGGCTCAACCAGGTTCTCCATCTAAGCCAGGTCTCTCCTGTGGTGCAGGAAACAGCCCTCGTGAGCCYACCTGGGGGGTCTCGCAGTTGGTCCTTCATCCCCTTGCTGGTTTTCCTCCCAGTCACAGCTCCCGGGGCTCTGTTGTGGTTTCTGTTATCTCAGTTACTGCACTTGGTTGTCCGCAGGGGTTTGGTGCTTGCAGCTGTTCCATTTTTTCCCTCCTGTGTAGAATATCCCATCCCTTTTCTTAATACCTTTAGATTAGTTTTTTTGATGTAATACAACAAAGACAAAGAATTAAGGTTAGTGAGCCAGATCTGTGTAATTCCAAGCACTCAGGTTGAGTCAAACCTCTTAGTCTTTTGGCTACTGGGGCTTTGATGTAGTCAGGTTTTTAATGTTAGATAGAAGAGCTAAACTTCAGTGAACCTTGTTTCTTAGCAGCTTCTGCTCTGCCTTTTCCTCCATGGTGGCAGCACTGCCTCTCTGATGAAGAGAAATTCYTTTTCACAGGATTTCCCAGATGTGTCAAACTAAGCAGAGATGAATGTTTCCTCTCCCTAGCGCTGAGGATATTGATTGCTAGAAACATTCGGCCACTTTAGAGAGAGGAATTGCAATATGATAGGCCAGCACATCACTTGGAAACAGCAAAATGTTGTGACAGGGTGAAGGACCTTCCATTTGCCTTCTCRCTGTATGGCTTGTTCCTTATCGACCAGGAGGAGGTTGTGCTAGCCAGGAATTAAATAATAATGAGTTTAACTTTACACAGGTCCTGCAGGGTGTCTTGAGCTGCCACTTGCACTGAGCTGGAGGTGAGGGCACTCAACAGCTTGGCTGAATCACGGTCTCACGATTGAGAAGTTCCTGCATATGTCTATAAACCAGATGCCTATAGGAAGGAGATGTATATTAATGCCTCTCCAGGTTGCCATATAAGCTCCACTTCTGTCAAGTGCCTAGAAAACCTGGAGTAGATGTAACATCTTATGAAGACCACAGACATAAACACATGAAAAAAAACACACCAAACAGAAAGAAAGATCAAGAGAAAGGCTCAGAATGGGTGAACTCTCTGCCTGGAGAGGGAGCCCTTGTCACTGCCTTTTGGGCAGATCATTGGGAAGAGCCAAAGTACCAGGGGATTGAGGAAACAGAAGGGCCGGCTGGGCTTATAGGCAGCAGCCGTGTGACTAGATACGGGAATCTTGGAGGGCGAGAAGTGGCTCGGAACTGGCCAGCAGGCTCCAGCCTTACTGGGCTGGGTGTCACCCACAGGGCCTGCAGGCCTCGTGTCCGCAGGACGGAGCCTGCAGGTACCCGGCCTTGGCGCTCGGTGTGGGTTTGAAGCACAGAGACTCACCAGCAGCCTTGAGAGTCTGGAGCTGCCCCTTCCAGCAGCAGAGCAAGTCCAGGCACCCTCCTCTGCCCCGTTGGTGCCTTCTGCCCTGGGCTGCTTCCCCACATGCAGCCTTTTAGCCAGGAGGGAAGAGCGTCTCCGTCTCCTCTGAAGGGTTATCCATGTGGAGTCTCTTGAGGCCGTACCTAGAGATCAGCCCCCCGGCCTGCTGCACCCTCCTGGCCTGCTGGGGGGTAACCAGCCCAGGGAGGCGTCCGGGAGTTGACTTTTCTCACTGCTGGCTTGCAGCTGCCAAACGCTGCGTGTGCAGGACCCCTGCTAGAGCCTGTCTTGTCCAGGGAGACCCCCCCCCAGCCCCTACCTCATCCCAGGAGGCCCCCCAGCTCCATGCCCAGCTCATTAGCCTGCTAAAGGYAGCTGAAACACGGTCTAAGAGTAGTTTGTGGCTGCTGGCCTCCAAGCAGCGYGTAACATTGGCTTGCTAAAGAAACCACCACTATGCACAGAAGGATGATGGCAACAACAGCAATTTCKTGCCCTTTCACTCAACTCTAGCCAGCTCCCATCATCTGCTGCTGCTGATCTGCACCCAGCTGCTCTCTGCTCCCTGCAGGAGTCAGCACAGGGCCCGCTCCTTCCCGGGCGATAGGCACAGATGTAACTTGTGCTGGAGCAAACCCTGGTGCCAGCAGGTTTGGGAGGGCCCTGGCAAGCAAAGCCGCAGGCCTCAGACCTTGAAGTTAGTTGGCACTGGCCTTCTTGTCCCATGGCATGGGAGAACGGGCCTTCCAAAACCTGAGCTCTGAACTAAACAGGGTTCCTGGTCTGCCAGACTTGGTGGGAAACAAAATACAGAAGCCTCTCCCTAGGAAGAAGCAGTTCTCTCTCCTCTGGTTTAACCTGCGCCCTCAGCCCCTGGGCATTTAGGGCTCCCAGGGAGGCCGTCTCTGCAGGAAGTCTCTTCCCATCTCTGCAGGAAATCCCTTCCTGGCCACAGCTGAGGCCGACCCTGCTCTGCTCGCCCAGCCRTCCGGAACCGTGCCGGGATTTACTGGCCTTGCAGGGAACTCTGCACTGCAGGCCCAGGCTGCCCCATGGTGGGGAGCAGGACCTGGCAGCCCTGGAGCAGCTGGAGCAGCAGCAGGAGGTGCTGGCAGTGCCGCTTCCCAGGGCTGCCTCCCAGAGCCACGGGCAGCGGCGGGAGCGCCGCTCCAGCCAACCCTGCTCTAAGAGGAGAGAAGAAAGCCTGGTCAAAACACAGGCTGTCCCAGCAAAGGCCAACGCAGGGAAGAGCCCTAGGGAAGCAACGGGAATTCACAGCAAAGCTTCCTCTGCTGCTTGCCCCGTGCCCTGGGCTTGTGCTGAGTCACCTGCCTAATCCCAAACACTCCTTTGTCCACCTGCTAAGTGATCRCTGCGGTCATCAAGGGGTCACAAGGACCTTGTCTCGGGTGGGAACACTGGGAARCATCAGGACAACTGGCCCACTCAGTCCCTCATAGCGAGGGCAGGGCCGGTTCCTCCTCGCAGGCTCCGCTGCCTGCCTGGAGTTTGCCTAACGCTGCTGCCTGCGTTAGGTTATTCAGCAGAGGGGTTGGCTGTGGGGGCCTCACTTGCTCTTCGTGCCCGTACGCAGGCGGCGAGGAGCGTGTTCTGGAAGGTACATTGAGGTCTATATTGAGATGCGAGACCTTGGGCTCTGAGGAGCTTGACACTCTCCTCCCAGGATGGCTCATTCCTACCTGTGCTCCGTGCAGAAGCTCCTCTCGTTGCCTTGAGCCTCGGCCTGGGGCACCTCCCGCCACCCGCATTCCTGGTGCTGTGCAGAGAAGGGCCTGGCTTCCTCGCAGGAGCTGGAGCATGTGGCACTGGGGAGCCTGCCCGGAGCACGTCTGCCGGGAAGATCCCTGCGGATCAGGCAGCGCCCAGCAAGGGCAGCCGACCAGYCGTGCGGAGCAGCTGAACCGCATCCCTGCGGCCAGCCCTGCTGGGAGCCCAGCAGCCACATGGAGACCGGGAGCTCGGAGCAGCTCCCGAGGGCGCATCCCAGCAGGACGCATCCCGGCTGCCCCTGGCAGGGCCCATCCCGGCAGGTCACATCCCAGTGTGGTRCATCCCAGCTGCCCACGCCGCGGTGCCTGCCCGGGGGAGATGCCAAGGGAAGCGGGAGGCACGTGTGCCCAGATCCGGCTCTGAGCTCATTCCTCAAGCAGGGAGACATCAATGACRCCCACGGCCCAGCTGCTCCTCAGCGTGGGAAATGCCTGCCCGTTTCAGCTCCTCTTTCTTTTCCTTGGGCCCAGGGGCCCTCACCCTTCTTCTCTCAATCCCCAACACACCATCTACCCTCAGATTATCCCCAAAGAAAGCAAGGAACAGGCTCCCAAGAAGAGACAGCACTGGTYTTGTTTCTCCCCTGCCCAAACATCCCTTTCAACCCCTCCAGATTATTCTTTTCCTCCCAGACATCTCATTTTGTTGCATTGTTCCACAAGTCAGTGCACCARGGGCTACAGGGGAGCTGCACATCAGTCAGCCTCCCTAAACCCAAGGAAGCTTTTTAGAAACCTTAACACAAAGGTAAAGATAGATTAAAATAGGCCCAGAGRTAGGTCTTATGTAAACTTCAGTGGAAATGTTATTTTCAGTAAAACTCAGTTTAATGAGTCATCTCTGCTGTAATTAACTCACCATAATGAACRAGGAGATTAGCAGCAGCATTATGTGGGATGAGAGTATGAGTTCAAATGAGATAAATCTGCAAGTTAAAAAAAAAGCACTAGTGAGAATCCTGATTTTTTCCAGTGAGCCCTACCATCTTGCAGTGACATTTGCATAGTCTTTCTCCTTTTTTTTTTTCCCTCCTTCCTGATTGTTAGAAGAAAAAAAACTAATTTTAGTTTTCATCCTTTGCCATGGTTATTTGTGTCTTCCCCTGCTGTTTCCCTTTCAGTTGCTGCTGAGCGATACCAGACTGTTCTTTTCAGCTCACAGACACCATAGGGCTTTTGCTGCCTTTTCCCCCAGTGCTACTAGGTTTGTTACCCGGAAGAGCAACGACTCGTTTAAAAGATCAGCTGCTTCCCCTGTCTTCATTGAGGGTCTGTTATTAATTATTCCGACTTTACTTCCAAGACCCAAAGGATCTCCCCTCTCTGGGAAGTCCTAACTGTTTGCTACTAGGATGGGTAGATGCCTCTTTAAATGCTGCAAGGTGTCAAAACAGACCAGCTGTGATCCAAACGGGGCACTTGCTCCTTGGGAAGCATGGGCAGGCAGGGAAGAGGGACAAGGAGGGATGGAGGATGGGTAACCTGAGCTCATCCTGAGAGCAGAGGGAGCCCCAAGGCTTTCACCAGTGTGTGCTGCTTGTCACCTGGGCCGTACCTAAGGTGCYTGGAGCTCCTTGCTCCTCCCRGGTGTTGTTCTCGAGCCAGGAACATCCCACTGCTCTGGCTGGATTCGTGCCTCACGGGGAGCAGGGAGCCGAGCGCCGCTGTCTCCGCAGGGCCRCTGGTGCTGCAGGACACGGCGCTGGACGCCTCGCAGAGGGAGGCTGTGTCCTTCGCGCTGGCGCAGCGGGAGCTCGCCATCATCCACGGGCCGCCCGGCACCGGCAAGACCACCACGCTYGTGGAGATCGTCCTGCAGGCCGTCCAGCGAGGCCTCAAGGCAGGTTCCCGGCGCGGGGGCGGCCRCGGCGCCGCGTTGTGCCGGGCCGCGGCGCCGAGCAGCCCRTGTGTCCCCGCAGGTGCTGTGCTGCGCGCCGTCCAACGTGGCCGTGGACAACCTGGCGGAGCGGCTGGCGGGCCGCGGCGCCCGCCTCGTGCGCCTGGGCCACCCCGCGCGCCTCCTGGAGCCGCTGCAGCGGCACGCGCTGGACGCGGTGCTGGCGCGCGGGGACGGCGCCCGCCTCCTCGCCGACATCCGCAGGGACATCGACCAGGCCCTCGTACGTGTCCCCGGATCCGCGTCAGCACCTCTGCGCGCCCCGGAAGGCGCCGGCAGGTCTGGGGTGCCCTAAAGGGGAGGCATTTCCAGAGGTGCCAGGGCCTCCCAGCAGCGCTCGCTCCCTGTGCCCGAGGGCAGGGCTGCCCCTAGTCGCAGCTCTATGGGCTGCCCCACGGGCTGCCGCAGCGCTCAGCCCCCCAGAGCCAGCTTCCTTCAAACGACCCCTGCACCAGGCAGGGGAGAAGCCTTCACATCATTAAGTCACTTCCTAATTAGATGTCTGGCTCTCCCGATGCTCCCTCCCCCTCCCAGCCACCTCAAGGAGAAAGCAGACTACCCCACAAAAACSCATCTTTGATTTCTGCCTTTGCAATCTGATTTTCTTAAACTTAATTTAAGCAGTAGCCTCTTTCACTTGAGATAACAGCCTCTGAGGCTGATTGGATTCCCCCCTTCCCCCTCTGGGGGCAGCATTATTCAGAAGTGGTTCGGAAGCTGCATCCGGCTTGAGACATCCAGCCTCTCACCCGGGGCACAGGAGAGCCTCCTCCTAGACCTGCACACACACTTTGCCCTATCTACCCAAGCATGTATGTTTATATAAATATGTGTACRTGTGTCTGCCCTTCAGGTAGGGCATGGGGAGACCCTATGTACAGACAGCTCAGAGCATCACTGGGAGCTTCCCACRGCACCTGCTCATGGATCCTGCCCCCATGGTCCTAGCCCACCCCTTTGGGGAACAGCCTTGGGCAGGGACATCCAGCTGCTCCCATCCTACAGGCAGGGAGGGCAGGAAAGCAGCCTCCAGCAGGACAAGGCCCCCCTGCCATGGGCACAGCCCCACRGTACCTGGGCAAGAAGGGCAGAGCAGCAGGCAGAGCAGGCAGCAGGTCCAGAGCAGCTCCTACTCCAGAGCAACTCTCAACCATGGCAGACCCAGCCCACAGCCCCTCTTAAATACAACCCTGACCCTAAATGCTGCCTCTGGCCCTTGGGTGGGGACCCAAATGAGGGCAATTGGAGCCTGCTGGTGCCCCATGCTGCTGAGCAGCAGGTGGGATGGGAGCTGCTGACCAGGCCCCTTCCCTCAGACCCATCCCCACRTGCTGCCTTGTCTCCCCCTAGGCCTAGAAACTGCCCATCTTACCTTGGTTCTTCTGTTTAAYAGGCAAAATCCAAGAAGGCCCAGGACAAGGGAGAACGGAGCCACTTTCTCAATGAGATAAAGCTGCTGAGAAAGGAGCTGAAGGAGCGAGAAGAAGCTGCCATGACCGCAGCCCTTACCCACGCCAGCGTCATCCTCGCGACGAACACAGGTCAGGGATCCTTTTCCTCGTGCAGTACCACACGTGTTAGAGCAGCAGGGGCTTTTCCACATGTTACATGTACCTCAGGGCTCCCCGTTGCTCGTCGGGGTACGTGTGTTTGCTTGGTCACATAGGCTACTCAAGTGGAATAAACCACGCGGGATGTAGGGAGCTGTAGGCRTCTGCAAGGGGGAGAGCAGCACGGGTACAACCAAGGGGAAAACACCAATCCTAACCAGTTTGCACACACTGAAGCACTTTGCTCCATCACGTGCACAATGCAGTAGGGCCTGGCTATAATCTTCAGATTTGGTCGTACAGGGATTATTTGCTGAAGGAGAATGGAGTAATTTTAGGTTATGAAAAAGAGCATCACAGGGCATCCACAAGTCACTGACATGGAGGCTTAAATGAGAGAGAAATCCTTTCATCATGTTATTTATTGGGAATTAATCTCTTCTTCCTGTGCCTGGAAAAGAGGAGAGGAGCTGATTTTTCTCTTTCTCCTTTTTTTTTTTTTTTTCCTTAAATAACACCCATATTTTGCATTGGCCAGACAGAATCCCCTCCTGGGGCTCGGGGGCTTGCTAACCATTTTGCAAGCCTATTCAGCTCTACTGCAGCGAGAAAGCAGTGGGCAAACAGATGCATAAAGGGATTCTTGTGTTTCTGCAGTTGTAGCAATCTCGGTATTTGCCTCGAACTGCCTCCTTCGATGGGGCTTATTTATGCAAGCCAAACTGCTCTGTTGCTAGGCTCAGCAGAGGGAGAATTTAATCACAGTAACGCACAGGGACAGCAGTGACCTTTAGTTAATGGGAGTTCAATAAACTGCTGTCTGTGGGGCTGGGAGGGAGCAGACGTCCGCACAGGGCTCACCACGGTGCTGCACTCTCCTCTTAAAAAGGGAAAAACAAGGCAGAAGTGTCTCAGTTGACAAACTGTAACATCTGACCTGTTGCAGAGCTGTACAGGCAGCAGGATTTACAGCCTCAGAGCAGAATGATCCCTAGTCTGAGCTGCTGTCAGAGCCATGCTGCAAGAGCAGGGGACCTTTTGAAAGGGCATTTCTGTAAATGCTGTAGGCACCAGCCCCCCRCCTGCCTTGCTGGCTTCTTGGTCACTCCTGGCCTCCTTTTTTCTTACTAATGGCCCTGCTGTTTTTTGCTGCCTCTCAGATCTGCAGTTCTGATCCATGCCCGGATCAATATCCCCTTGTGGCTGGATCCTAGCAGAACCCCTGGGCAGGCTGAGGAGTTTGGCATGGCAGAGACGGATGGACGGACGGACGGATGGACGGACGGATGGATGGACGGACGGATGGATGGACGGACGGATGGACGGACGGATGGATGGATGGATGGATGGATGGATGTGTGGGATGTGGGAGCGCAGCCCGTGCCCTCGCAGCCAGCCCTGCTCTGTGCTCCGGCCCGCGCAGTCCCTTTGGCTCTGCTGTGCAGCTGGGGGCAGGAGGGAGGTGGGTGCTCGTTTCGCTTGGCTCCCGCACCACGGATTAGTCAGTCACGTTGTTGTGTTTATCGCGTGCGTCGCTGTCATTCTCCAAGCTGCTTGGAAGCCTTCAGGCCCAGATGGGGGGGGAAAAAAAAGGACAAGCATAAATTGGCAAAAACAGTTCTGGCATGTACATATAGGCATGTATATATTTGGCATGCCCTGGAGAAGTGAGCTGGGAAATCCGTGCTGGGAGCCCCTATCCCGCTGCGGCGGCGCGCGTGGGGCCGGGCGCTGCGCGGTGCCCAGCGGCTCCGTGTGCCCCACACAGGCGCCTCRAGCGACGGCCCCCTGAAGGTGCTGCCCGAGGGGCACCTGGACGTGGTGGTGCTGGACGAGTGCGCGCAGGCGCTCGAGGCCAGCTGCTGGATCCCGCTGCTGCGCGCGCCCAAGTGCGTCCTGGCCGGCGACCACAAGCAGCTGCCGCCCACCATCGTCTCGCACAAGTAAGTGCCGGCTTGCGGGCCGCCCTCGCCCTCCAGCTGCTCCTGGAGGCTCCTCGGGCCTCGCGGCGCGTTGTTAACGCGGGTTGTTCAACTCCATCCCCCCGGGCGGCCCCGGAGCCGCGGCTCCGCGGCGGCCGGAGGCTGGGAAGCCTCGGGAAGGGTCCCCRCGTCCTGGCCCCCAGCGCCAGGGGTGCTGCGTGCGGCGCACGGAGGGGCCGCGGTGCTCGTCACCGCAGCCCTTGCAGCGCTTGGCAAGGCCGGCGAGGCCCTGAGAACATCAAAAACCATTTGTGTTCCGAACAAGGAGCTCGTGGCACAGTGCAAACTAGTGGCACAGTGCAAACAAGGGCGCCCGCCAGCACAGGGGGCTGTTGGTGGCTTAGAGGGCTGCTTCTGGAGCGCTGCGCCTGGAATCACTGCCGGGAAGCAGGGCYGCCTTCCTGAACCCTCTGTCCCGCTTCCAAGAGCCTCTTTGGCCGGGTGCCTGTCTGCAGCCTTGCCTGGTGTTTTGGTCGTSGAGGCTCCGTTTCCGAGGGAGGCAGCGGCTCCCGGCACGGGGCTAAGAGGCTTCYCTAACGTTAGGCATCCCGAAGTTGGGAATAAGTCTCTCGCCTACACACAGCAGCCAAATGCTTGCCCAGGGTAGGATGTCCCTCTTCTCCCCCCTCCTTCCTCAGAGGGGCTGAAATCTGCTGAACAGACCACGTTGTTACAGCCCTGGTGTGAGCAGAGCAGCAGTCACTTGCTGGCCCCTCTCCAGGCCTTAAATGTGGTCTCTGTGTCCCTGTGTCCATCAAAAGAGAAGGATTTGCTCCCTCGCTCCCCTGGGCAGAAGGGCTCTTTATCTCTGCTGTTGCCCTTGTCCTTTGAGGAGCTCGGGGGTCTCGTTGTGTGTTTTCAAGGCCAGGAGCCCCTGCCAGCTCCCTGCTCCGTTCCGCATCAATGGGAGGAGAGGAGCCTTTCCGGGATGACTCACGGAGAACACGGAGCCTCCCGCCCACCTGCTCCTCTTCTTCCATTGAGGACAGGAGGCCGCCGTGGGCGGGCTCCTATTCTGGGGCCTGACGTTAGCCGGGCTGAGCGGGGCTGCCGGAGGGACCGCTGGCTGCTCCGGGATGTGCCGGATCCCAGACATGTCGCGGGAAGCCCTTCCCAAGCGGAGCGCCGTTCAGGCTTTCCTGTCATCCTGATTCATCTCCACRGGGATTTCGTCCCCAGGGATTTAGCTTATTTGATGCTGTTGAGAAGTCTGCGGATGACTAACAGGCCCTTTCCCTAGGAGCCAGGGTATCTTCAGCTGCCCCGTTTGGCTGAATTCCCATCTCCCGTGGTTGGGAATTGGATACTTGGCATGGCCAGTCCCGACAGGTTTGCTCACAGTCCCTCGCTGAGCAGCAAGTGCTGCCCCTGGTTCTCCTTGGGAGCTCTGCAGTGGCAGTAGGGAGCTCGGTACCTGCTGTGACGTGGGGCAGGTGCTGGTATCTGCAAGGCCTTATGGAGGCAATATCCAGAGGAAAGGGGGGTCCTTCCCGCTTCCCCTCCGTGTGTGCAACCTCCCAACCCCATCSCAGGTACAGCCGCAGCTTTCCCATGGGAGATCTCCGGTGACTCCCAGTGCCTACAGGGCAGGCCGTGCCCGTCCCGAGGGCACTGATTCCAATGTAGCCCCTGAAACACTCCATCCCGCCCGGCTTTAGGGCAGGGAATTCCCAGGCATCAGGAGCGCGAGTTCATCCCATCCCAKCCCAGCCCTTCCCATCCCGTTGCCCGGAGGCAGCTGCTGCTTCAGAGCTCCGGCCTCCTGTGGGCAGGAGGCGGCTGTGGCGGGAAGCAGTTGCTCTGTGAAGTAACAGGGCATTTATTAACAGGGAAATGCTGCAGGCGGTTYGGTAGCCTGGTTATTCCTCAGCGCGTAGATCCCGGCAGCGGGAGCAGGTCTAGGTGTGGCCCCGGGTTTGGGAGAACCCGCAAGCCCAGGGAGGCAGAAGGGAAGGCGAGAGGCCTCCCGGCTGGCAAGGGCTGAATCCCGCCCTCAATCTGGGGTGGTGCCTGGTCTCCTTGTTGGGGTGATGAAGGTGCGAGGCCCCGGGGAGCCCYGGTGGGGTGGCAGCAAGGGGGGCAGAGCGCGCTCCTGACCCGCTCCGGTGTCCGCAGGGCGGCCGCCGGGGGCCTCTCGCGGAGCCTCATGGAGCGGCTGGTGGAGCGCTGCGGCGCGGCGGCCACGCGCATGCTCACCGTGCAGCACCGCATGCACGAGGACATCATGCGCTGGGCCTCGGACGAGATGTACGGCGGGCGCCTGCGCGCGCACCCCGCCGTGGCACACCACCTGCTCAGGTGAGTGAGCGCCCCGCGCCACCCCGACACCCCACGGCTGCCCCTCGGCCACCCCGACACCCCACGGCTGCCCCCAGCTGCGCCGAGCGCCGCCGCCGCCTTCCCGCCACGGAGCTTCCCGCTCTCCAGGCCCTGCGGGACCCTCCCGCTGCTCCATCACCCTCGGTTTCGTGGAGCAATCCGCAGCCCCTGCTCGGCCCCCGAGTCATGCTCGTCACGGGCATCAGCCGCGCTCCGGCCGCGGGCATCCGGGCGCCCCACGGGACGCTCCCCGTTGCCGCCTCGTTCCTCGCCCGCTCCCGGGCTGCGTCTCAGCCTGCAGCTTGGGAATGTTGGCTGGGGAGAGGCCCCGTGGAGCGGCCCAAAGCCCTTAATGCTGCGGCTCCTCCGAGAGCTGGGGTTAGAGCTTGTTAGAGTTTGTTCCAATGAGCTGGGCTTAGAGCTGCCTCTGTTGTTCTAATGAGCTGGGCTTAGAGCTGGCTCTGTTATTCCAACGAGCTGGGGTTAGAGCTGCCTCTGTTATTCCAAGGAGCTGCTACTTTATTTTTGCGGCAGATGGAGGAGCGAATGTCCCACTTCCTGCCCGCCCCCGGCGCAGCTCCGCACGGCTCCGTGGGCTCGGGGCTCATCCTGCGCGGCGCTTTCCGCGCCTGCCCTCCGTGCGCTCCTGCACCACGCAGGGAGCTGCGCCCTGCAGGGAGCACAGGGAAGAGCTCTTCCGAGCAGGAGCCGCCTGGCTGGTGCCAGGGCAGGGCTTTTCCTCACCTTTGTGACCATCTCCCGCCTGGGAGYGGGTTAAGCCAGATGATTTGCTTAATCTGCTCCCTGAGCAAGAAGTAAATAGGCTCCACTCTCTTTTCTCCTTAGAAAAGCCAACCTAAGCAGAGGTATCGTAGAGGAGGCTGGAAGGGCCCGTTTGCTCATCCCAAAAGGCGGCCGGAGCGTTGCCGATTGCTGCAGTACTTCCCCACAGACCCAGGCTGTGCTGCCTCCTTCCCAAGGGACAGCACCAGGCCTAGCCCCGCGGGAGGAGCAGGAGGAGCAGGATTTCTGTGTCTGCTTCCCGCGCTCAGGGATCTTTCACCAGAGGAGGATCTGGGGCTGCTTCTGGAGAGGGGTTGGTGCTTTGGCAGGAGGCCCACGCTGGGACACGGGGCTGCGGGGGGTCCAGGCTGCCTGTTGTGCTTACGGAGACGCCCCGTGCTGCAGCGCGGCAGCGCCGCATCCCGAGGGCCTCGCTCGGAAGCGGAGCCGCGGAGCGTTGCCGGTTGCACCGGGAGGCTGCTCCCTGCGGGAGCCGGGCCTCGCTCTGGGCGGCCTCTGGCCTAAGTGTCGCTCCCCGCCGGAGGGAGCAGGGACGGGGCCTCCGAGCCCGTGGCCGTTCCGCTCCCAAGGACTCGGCTTCCCCGACCGCCTTCTGCTCCGGCCGGGGCAGTCGGCAGCACGTCGCCGTCTCTTGGCGATTCCTGCAGCATCGAGTGCCATCCTCGTACTTCCAAACTTAACTTCCAAATGAGGCAGGAGCCAGGACTGTCCTGGGTACGCCCGGAGACGCCCCTTGCTAGAGACGAGTCCTGTTCCCAAAAACTCTCTTCATCCACTGTCCGTGGGGAGATGCTCGTCCTTACCGACCACGACGGCTGCGAGCAGCCTGCCCATAGCTGCTGCTTGGCATCTTCCAGCAGCAAAATAACGAGCATTAACAGCAGGGAGGGAAAGCCCAGCTGGAATTAACYGGGATCCTGATCACTAGGTCTGCGCTGTATCGAAGGGGGAAGCTTTGGTCTCCCCAGCATCTCTCGGAGGGTGCAACATTTCCGCAGGGGCAGGGCCCTCTTCCCACATTTCCCTTCCCTCTGGAACAGGCAGCCCCGCGTGCCAGAAACCCCCACACGTCTCCGCGCTTGAGCTCGGGAAGCTGCCAGGAGCGTTTTCCACACTTCAAACCTGACTCATTGCCCCGAGAAAGGCTTGAAAAAGTCATGAGCGGTTTCTGCTGTCGGGTTTAAATCTAATTAACGCGCCCGGCATCCCCTCGCTTTGCACTGCTCCTCTGGCGCTGACATTCCCTACATCCAGGGGAACATTCCCATTCCATACAGAGGAACACAGGGGATCCCGCTCCCCACAGCGGCGTGTGCCCCACACAACCCTGTGGAGCCGGAGCATCCCTTGGATGTGCCGTGCAGGCTGCCTGGCTCCATCCCAGAGGGAGCCCCGGCTCCTTACACGCCGGGATCCTGTCCGCGTGGTTTGTGGCTATGGAGCATCCAGAGGAACGAAGGAGCTCCCTGGGTCGTTTGCAGGCTCCATCACCGCTAGGAGCAGCCTCAGCCAGGGCCAAGTCCTGGGTCTCGCAGGTGCTCCCGCTCCGAGGCCGCTCGGCGGGACGGGACAACGTGGCCGTGCCCTGGGTGGGCAGAGCCGCAGCGTCCCCGCCGTGGGGCYGTGCCCCCCGCCGCGGCCGCCCTGAGCGCCCCTTCCCGCGCAGGGACCTGCCGGGCGTCGCGGCCACGGAGGACACCTCGATCGCCCTGCTGCTCATCGACACCGCCGGCTGCGGCCTCTTCGAGCTGGAGGAGGGAGACGAGCAGTCCAAGGGCAACCCAGGTAGCGGCGCGCGGCGGCGCAGAGGGGCGGCCCGCGGGCCCCGCGCGGGCCGGCCCCACGGCAGCGACGGCCGCTCCGTGCCCTAGGCGAGGTGCAGCTGGCCGGGCTGCACGTGCAGGCGCTGCTGGAGGCCGGCGTGAAGGCGCGGGACGTGGCCGTGGTGGCGCCCTACAACCTGCAGGTGAGCGGCCCCACGGCGGCGGCGCGCGCGGCCGCCCCGCGCCCCCCGCTAAARCTCTGCCCCACGCCTCTGCTTCCAGGTGGACATGCTAAGAGAGCACCTCTGCCACAGGTACCCCGAGCTGGAAGTTAAGTCGGTGGACGGTTTCCAGGGGCGAGAGAAGGAGGCCGTGATCCTGTCCTTCGTGCGCTCCAACAGGAAGGGTAAGGAGCCGGGACRGGCGCCTCGGGACGGTCGCTTGCCGCGATGCTGAAGGCTGCGGGGRGATTGCAGCTCTTGGGGCCTCTGGCACTGGGCTCTGAAAGACTTTACCTGGAGGAACCTTCCTTTTCGGGATATGTATTTTTAATGCTGTTACATTTGCTGTCATGGTCGCAGAGGAAAGCTCCCGTGCTAGGGGACAGGTAAAAAGGAAGCCAACGCTGCTTGATTTGAAGGTTTCTGGTCACTGGGACCTCGTAGCTATTTAAGTCCAGGTCCTAGGTTTGGTAAACGCACKGTTAGCACCACCTCCCCACAAGGAGGGGGAATCTGGGATTCCTTTCATGGGTTTGGAGCCTTTTCCAGGCTCCAGGCTGCTTCCCCAGGGAGCGCAGCAATGGCTCACGAGCCATGCACAGAGAAACGCTTCCTCTGGGAGCGAGATCTGGAGCAGAAAATCGAGGTTTTTCCTGTCGGGAGCTGCAGGGAGAGTCAATAGCAGGAAAAAGCTCCTGCCCTCAAGCCCRAGGGCTCCATTGGTGGCCCCTGCAGGCGGCAGGGAGCGGGGCCGGTGCCGGGGCCCGCGCAGCAGCCGCCCCTCCGGCTCCCTCGGGCACCGGCGTCGCTCTGAGAGGAGACGCTGCCCGAGCGGCAGCGGAGGGGAGTCCTGCCCCCAGCGCGAGGATGCGCCCGGGGAGCCGAGGGGCGTTTAAAGAGAGCCTGAAGCAGGAAAGGCAGCACTGGGAGCGGCGTGGAGGCGGGGAGCAGGGCTCAGGATGGGCCTTCCTCAGGAGCGACTCACTCACCTTCACTGCGCGCCGTGGGGGGCTGTGCCCCCAGGCAGCCCCAGGGTTGGTGCAGGGATCGCTTGTGTAGCAGGAGGCACAGGGCAGCTCCCCGGTGCTGGGCACAGCTGCAGCCCAGCCCTGCTTGTTAGCACCCTCCTAAAGCCTCCAGAGAAACCCCACACATTTTTCCAATCAGCTGCGAGCTTCCCCCTTGACCCTTCTGCCRAGAAACCCCCTGGCCGTGGCACAGGGGCTGGATTTGCCCCTGCTGGCCGGGAGGAATCACAGCGGAGGAGTYGGAGGCAGCGAGCTGGGCACGGCCCGGCCGGAGCAGGGCTGCCCCGGAGCCGGGGGCCGCCCGTGCTGCCACCCGTGGCCTCTGCCGGCCCTCAGCGCCCCTGTTCCCGCCGTGTCCGCAGGCGAGGTCGGCTTCCTGGCCGAGGAGCGGCGCGTGAACGTGGCGGTGACGCGCGCCCGGCGCCACGTGGCCCTGCTCTGCGACTCGCGCACCGTGGGCACCCAGCCCTTCCTGCGGCGCCTCGTGGACCACTTCGGGCGGCACGGCGAGGTGCGCTCCGCCTTCGAGTACCTGCCCGACCTCGTGCCGCACAACTACTCGCACAAGGGCCGCGGAGAGCCCAAGCCCAAGSCCAAGGCCAAGGCGCATCCAGCACGTCCGGCACGGCAGCCCCGCGCGGCACCCAGCAAACCTGCCTCGGCTGAGCCGGAGCCGCGCATGCCAGAGCCGGAGCAGCGTGTGCCGGAGAGCGCGGAGCCGGAGCAGCGCGCGCTGGAGAGCAGCACGGAGCCGGAGAGCGGCGCGGAGGAGCTGCGGGCGACGCTGGCGGCGTTCGCGCGGGGCGCCGCGGCCGAGCTCACCTTCCCCGCCTCGCTCAGCCCGCGCCAGCGCCTGCTCGTGCACCTGGCGGCCGAGGAGCTGGGGCTGCAGCACCAGAGCAGCGGCCAGGGCCGGCACCGCCGCGTCACCGTGCGCAAGGGGCCGCCCCACGGCCCCGCACAGCAGCCACCCCCTCCTGGGTCCCCGGCTGCCAGCCCCACGGAGGAGGCTGCCAGCCCCACAGAGGAGGCTGCTGGCCCCACAGAGGAGACTGCTGGCCCCACTGAGACTGCCAGTCCATTGGAGGAGGCTGCCGGCCCCACRGAGGAGGCGGGAAGCGGCAAGGCCTCTGTCCCAACCGTGGACCTCAAGTCTTTGCACATGGAGCGAGTGCAGCGGGAGAAGGCGAGGGCGGCGCGGGAGCCACGGGCTGGCCCCCCAAGTGGCAGCAGGAGAAAGGACCGGTGCCCAGGCAAGGGTAGGCACCAGGGCAGGGGTGGGCGCCAGGGCAGGGGTGGGCGCCAGGGCAGGGGTGGGTGCCAGCGCAGGGGTGGGTGCTGCCAGGCCGGCCGGGCTGTGCTCGATGCCGGTGCCCATGCGTGGTGCACAGGAGGGCGGCTCTTGAATGCTCCCCATGCCCACAGGAGCAGAGGTTCCCTTGCATCTCCCAGGAAACAAGAGGGGGGAATGAGAYTGGAGGCTCCCAGCTTTAGGAGGAGCATCTGCAGCTGGTCCCGACCCCCCCCACCTCCCTGGGTGCCTCCTGAACATGGGGGGCAGGTGACAGCAGGGCCAGGAGGGTCTCACCACCCAGTTCAGCATCCCACTCCCCTGCCACCCCCTTCTAGCGAGTCAGGGCTCTGGTTAAGGGCTCCTCGGCATCCCCTTGCTTTGCATGGAGAAACCGTGACATTCCTGCTTTCCGTGGCTCCCGCAGGCACGCCGAGCGGCGCCGCGCCGGAGGACGTCGACGCGCTCATCGCGGCYGCCGTCAAGGCCGACGGCACCTGCGGCTTCGCCCGCTGCGCCGCCAGCGTCGCCACCCTGGGCCAGCGCTGCCCCCACTGCGCCCGGCGCTACTGCCTGCGCCACCACGTCCCCGAGGTACGTGTGGGGCTGCGCGATGCTCCCGCTGCCGCTCCGGCCCCAGCGCTGCTTCCGTGGGGCGCGACGCGCCCCACGGAAGCAGCGCTGGGGCCGGAGCGGCAGYGGGAGCAAAGCAGCGGGGCAGGAGCGCGTGGAGCTGCTCCACAGGCCCCTGCGGCTCCATCCCGATCCCCTTCCTGGCAGGTCCACGGCTGCGGGGAGGCGGCCAAGGGCCACGCGCGGCAGCGGCGGCCGGCGGAGAAGCCCCTGGATGCGGCCGCGAGAGCCCAGCTGCAGCGGCGCCTGGACAGAAAGCTCAGCGAGCTGAGCGGCCAGCGAAGGAGCAAGAGGAAGGACAAGGAGAAGTGAGGGCGCCGGCAGCGAAGTTGGGTTATCCCTTCGACTGGAAGGCAGCGGGGAGGCTGGAGAAACCAAAGAGGCTGTTCAGGGAGCGGGATCAGGGGAGCCGGAGTGGGGCTGGTTAAAGCTGCCCCAGGTGCCTCCCCCAGYGCCCCACTGCGACGCAGGGAGGGGAGCAGCTCGCCTGGTCACGCTGTTTTTATTGACAAGGTAGGAGATGCACGAGGGAGCCTGGAGAAGTGCCAATAAAGGAGAACATGGAAACACCCCGAGCAGGGGCTGGCGCCCGGCTGGGGCTCCGCGCTGCCCCCAGGGGAAGGGCTGCGGGCGGCAGCAGGGAAGCAGCTGAAAGCGCCTGGGACTCGCCCTGGAGCTCGTCCATCTCCTCCCCTTAATGCGTGGCCGGAGCCCTGCGGGGCCGGGCAGCGGCCGCGTGTGGGGCGGCGCGGGGGGCCGCGTTTCCTCCGTGCCCCCTGCCCGTGGGGCTGCCTAGGGCCGTCTTGGCAGCGGCGCCAGGGCCAGATGGGGCTGGCGGAGCGGGGCCCGGGCGCTGCAGATGGCCCCGCGCGCRGGCAGTGCCAAGAGCCCTCACCGGCCAAGCCGGGACAGGGGCCGCCCCAGAGCGGGGGCAGGGGCTGTGGGGCAGGGGAGTCGCCTCCCCCCGGCCTTATTACCCCTCCTGCAAGGGGGGGCGCCAGGGCTGCGCCCGGCGCAGGGCAGCCAGACACGCACGGGAGCTGCCTCCATCCTCCGGCGCCGCAGCCGTGGGAAGCGGCCTTGGCCGCCGGGAGCCGCCGCCGCCTCTCGCTCCCGCGGGGCCTGAGCCGCTCCGCAGGCCGGGAGCYGTCCCGGAGCCTTAGTTTCTTCGCACCGTGTGCCACATGGACACRGGCTTCCTCAGCGTGGCCAGCATCTGGTGCCAGTGGGTGATGCCCATGCCGCTGGCCGCGGGGCCGATGAGCACGTGGCCCGTGGCGTCGGCGCGCCCGTCCTCGCCGCTCTCGGCCACCGTCACGCGCAGCGACAGCTCCTGCGAGGCGGAGGCGGCAGGAGTGTCGCGTCACGTCCCATCCCATCCCGTCCCGCCGTGGGGCCGCGCGTGGGGCAGGCTCACCTGCAGCACGATGGCCGGCACCGAGAAGATCATGGCCTCGTTGAACACGGGGTTCGGGTCATCCCGCTTCACCGCCGTCTTCTTCTTGCTGATCTTCCTCCCGTCCTGCAGCAGGTACACCTTGACAAAGGGATCTGCGAGGAGGGGGGCACGGGACAAGTAAGGAAAAACAAAGAATATTCCATGGCAGGACAGGGAGCTTGGGGAAATACCGGGGGAAGAGACGGGCCTGTTCCCTGAGCCCTCACACAATAAACACCCGTGTGATGGATTACGGAGCCCAGGGCACAAATACGGGGCGCTGCAGGGACGCACGAGGCCGCGTGAAGCCCGGCCGCGCGCCAGCCTCTCACCAGCGGTGCCTTTGCCGTTGCTCCACACGAGGTTTTTGGCCTTCACCACCACCACGGTCAGGCGCTCGGCYGTGGGCAGGTAGCTGAGCGAGAGCAGGATCTCGCCCACCGAATCCACCGTCTGCCGAGAGGACAAAGGCGTCAGCGAGGGGCAGGAAAAACATCTGCATGAGGATAAGTGTATAGGCACGCCAAGAGCCTCCTCGCGCGCACCTTGTTGGGGTCCTGCAGGTAGAGCCAGGCGGTGAAGGGCCGCGCGGGCAGGTCGAGGTCGCAGAGCCGCAGCTCGGCGGCGCCCGCGGGCGCGCTGCCCTCGGCGGCGCCGAAGGCGGCGAAGCGCAGGCTGTTCTCCTCGAGCGCCGCGGGCTCCAGCGGCACGCAGAAGCGCTCCCCGAAGTGCGCGGAGCCGCCGCTGCGCTGCGGCTGCCGGGGCGCGGGGACGCAGTGTCGGCCGGGGGCGCTCGGGGGGCTGGACCCATGGCCGCCCCCGCGCGCCCCGGCCGCTCACCCGGGAGGTGCCGACGAGGCGCTCGCTCGGCAGCAGGCTCACGCGCACGAAGCAGGACTCGGGGCGCCCGGCGTCCCTCTCCAGCAGGTCCTTGCCCTGCAGCAGCGCCACGTGCAGGGCGCGCGCCCGCGCCGCGTACTCCACGCTCACCTCCAGCTGGCCCACCGTGAACTCCTGCCCGAAGCTGTTGCCGATGGACGACACGGAGCTCAGCGAGTCGGCCGACACCGACTTCCTGAGCGGCCCGTAGGGCGCCAGCCCCAGCTCCCGGCTCATCAGCTCCAGGCTGCCCAGCTCGTCGACGCTCTCCAGCACGTCGGCTGCGCGCGGGCCGGCCGGGCCACCCGCCTCCGAGGGCCTGCGGGAGCCCTGGCGCCGAGGGCGGAGGAGAGAGGCTGTGGGGCGCGGGCAGGAGCCGCGGGACGCGCTGCGGGCGGCGCGGCGTGGCGCTCACCTGCGGGCGCCGCGGGGCGCGCGCCGCCGCTCCGTACTTGCGCTGCAGGTAGCGGTAGTCGTAGTTGGGGAAGGGCGAGGGCGCGGGGCAGCGCCCGGAGCGCCACAGCTTCCACAGGTTCACGGCMGCGATGCCCAGCAGCGCCAGGGCGCCCGCCACGTACGTGCCCAGCTCCCAGCGCGGGGGCCCGCCGGCCACTGCGGGACACGGCCCAGCTGCCACCGGCCCGGCAGCGCCCGGTGCCGCCGGCCTCTCCGCGGCGGAGCCGGCGGGAAGGGGTCGCGGCGCGGGACACGGAGCGCAGTGCCCCCACTGTCCCCTCCCCGCCGGCCAGAGCGCCGTTCCGCTTCTCTCCGCTGCCCGCTTCCCGGCGCATGGTTAGGGCCGGGGCGGCAGCTTCACGGGGATGCAGCGCAGGGGAGGGAGCTGGGGCCGGGATGCAGCGGCAGCCCGGGCTGGARCGGCCAGTGCTGCATTGCAGCAGCCTCCCGCACAGTGGGATGAAGCAGCGTGAGGGGGGAAGGAAGGAAACCCCTTCCCGCGGGAGCCGAGCGGAGCATCCCGGGCCYGGGGCTGCGGCCGTACTCACCGCTGGAGCGGTGCCCGTCGGCGTGGCCGCCCTCCATGGCCGGCGCTGCCAGGACGGCCGGCAGGCAAAGCGGGTGCACAGGCGCCTTTGGCTCTTTCCTCCTTCCCGAAAAGCCACTTCCCTGTGCCGTAAAGGAGCGGTGGGGAGCGGGGAGAACCCACCAAAACTGAGAAGCATCCGCTGCGCGCGGGCACCGCTCCGAGCCGTGCCGCTTCCCTGCTGCGCTGCACTCTGCCTTCCTTGCRGGCGCCCAAGCGCCGCATCCCTCGGAGCGGGATCTGACCCCGCTCCGCAGGGCAGGGAGCTCCGGCCGGGAGGGAGGCCCCTGCGCGGCAGCGGCTCCGGAGCGCAGGGAGCTCCGCTCCGCGTCGCCTCCCAGGCACCCCGGCCCTCGGTACCTGCGCGGCCGCAGGGCAGTGGCTGCGGCGGCTCCCGCGCTGCCGCAGGCGGCAGAGGCAGCGCCGGGGATGCGGGCGGCTCCGGGAGCTCCCTCCGCTTCCGTGTCTAGCTGGGAAGGGGGAAGCYGGGGGGACCCCGCGCTGGCGCTGCAGCCCTGCGTCCTCCTCTGCCGGGGGCGGCGGGCGGTTCATCACCGGGATCCCYGTCCTCGCCCCGCGTGCCGGGGGCTCCCGTGGGGCCAGGACACCAGTCCCGCGCTCTGGCTCCCGCTTCCCGCTCAGCCCTGTGGGCTCCAGGCTGCGCGGCGCGCGGGGAGCGTCCTTACCGTGGGGCTGGAGCTCCGGCTTCTCAGCACCCGACGCCTTCCCGGCTGCTCGTCCTGCCGCGGGCTGGGGCAGCGGGAAGAGCCCCTCCTCTCCAGCACCGCTGGAGCGCGGGGTCCCGACCGGAGCGCTGGGGTCCCGCAGGCTCCCTCAGGCACCCATTGCTTCCCCCTCCACCAGCCCCGTGCGCCCAGCGGCTCCCGCGGGCCCTGCYGGCCGCTCGAGCGGCGCCGCCGGGGGCGGAAGGTCCCTGGGGGCCGAGGCCCATCCGCRCGGAGCCGTGCGGCTCCACCGAGGCCCTTCCAGCTGCCTCCCTCTCTTGGGGCACCAGCCCCGGCTTCTGGGAACTAAGCGGGTTCCAATAGCTCCAGCCTGCGGAGGAGAGGCCAGGCAGGTGCTTTACCTAAAAATGCCAAGTTTAGCTTAAGGGATTAGAGGCAGGCTTCACTTAAACTGAGCCCAGCAGCACCCTCTGAGGCCAGTCGAAAACCTCTCGGACCCAAATCCTCTCCAAGAGCACCCCAAGACCCTGGCACCCTGGAGACCTCAGGCCTCCCCAGCTCAGCCCCTTCTCCCACGGCATGAAATCCCACAGGAGAAGGGGCTGCACGCGGCTCCGTTCCTTAGCTCCCCGGCTCAGTTAGGGTAGGGATTAGGAGAGGCGGCTCCCCGGGGCTGGTGGCAGCCCGGGCCACCCGCAGCCCCTCGCGGGCCACGAGCAGCCTCGCTCCCAGCAAGGGCTGCGGGGCCGTCTCCGCCCGGAGCCTCCCGCCACAGGAGCCTCCCGCTGCCGCCATGGCTTTGCGGGGAAGAAAGCTGCTCTCCGTGGGATCGGGCTCGGCCCTGTTCCCAACCCCGAGCGGTCCCAGCCTGGCCCTTGCCGGCCCACCCAGCTCCACTAACGCACAGACACCCTCCGACCTTCCTTCTCTCTGGCTCCACRCAGTACCAGATGGTGCCAGCTTGGTTCCGTGCTCAGCTCGGGCCTCGGACAACTGCGGAGACAACTAAGGAACAGCGGCAGGATGAGGCGCGGTGACCAGCAAGCCCTGTAAGGGCCGCAGCGGCCGAGCCCCGTCGTTCTTAGTGGAGCCCCCACGGGCTCACGCTGCATCTCAGAGAGCTGCAGAAGGCTTTGCAGGGGCCCCTGCAGCTCTCAGCAACTTCCCTGAATTACTTTTCCCCTGACAAAGTCAGGTTTTCTGTAGAAAACATTGTCTAGAAGAGCAGTGTTCTGCAGCCTCCTGAAAGTATAGAAGAAGAACCACTTATCGTCTTGGAAAAGTGTGTATATATATATATATATATATATATGTGAACTGTAAATCAAGCAACAAATAAATGATAAAAATAAACAGCAAATAAAATAAAAGCTAGTGAAATATTATTGCTTTCTAAACTGGTATTGATCGCACTTCAGACTGGAACTTTAAAGTCTTAGGATACTCTCTCTTTCCCCATTAAGAKGGGGAAAACCTTAGAGCACCAAGGTCCAGGCTTGCTCACATAACCAAAYTCCCCTTCCATGATGCTATTCCTGCTCATTTCCTAGCGACGTTCTCAACACTTTGACATCATTTGGGTTAGGGCAAAGCAGTTGCTATGCACTTCGAGGCAGTTGATGAGGATCTGAAATTCTCTCCAAGAATGAGATTTTTCTGAGAAAAGACATTTTCTTAGAATACAGTATTGTGTTATTTTATGTTTTCAAGCTACAATAATGTACTCAGACAGCTTCCMTGTTATTTTGCTTTGCCCACTCTTTATGTCCTACAGTGCCAGAGACTGATACATTTCACCAAGATAAATGAAATCCCTCCTCTTTCTTAGCCTCAGATCCTGGATGATATTTAAGTAGCCTTTTATTTTCTGACCTTGATCTGTTTCTCTCTATTAGCTCCACCACTGCCTACTTTAGCTTCTTCTTGACCACACTGGCCAGGACTGATGCTGCAGCCCTGACACCTTGGGGATGTGACTCACGTCATACTAAGGAACTGCTTTTGTGTCTGTGCACCTGGAAATGCTGCCCTTTTCTAACGTACACTTTCTGACCACCAGCTTATCCCTTTTCACAAGCTAACTTGGCAACTCATAACTTATAACTCATAACATAAGCAAAAGTCAGACCTGCTGATGCTGTTCTCCTTACCTTGCTTTCTATTTTATGGGTTATCTATCCCTTCAGTGTATTTTAAACAGTCTGTAAAATTTACTGACAAGCATAAAAGTTGTATTTTGTCACATGTAACCGCCTTCACGCACAAACACAAAGATGATCTTAGAGACTCTCACAACATAAGGTAAGCAATAAAATTACATTGCTGTTTTAATACTAGATTAAAAAAAATGTTTCCTTTGTTTAAACAATTTGCAAAACAAAGCAAAAGATGTCAATAAGRTTTGGAAACTCTGCCTTAGAGCAAAACAAATAAAAAATACATTCTTAGTGTCATTTCAATCACATAAAATTTGGAGACACACAATGATTGTTTCATATTCAAACCTACTGCATCTTATGCAATGTAGTTTACTATTTAAAACAACAATAATAATTAAAACAAGCCACTTGGAGAAGAATTTGTAAAGATTTCAAGAATATCCTGTTTTATTTAGCRTTCAGCTCTGATGTTTTAGAAATTCAGCAATATTTTCCATCACACAGAATGAAGATTCCTCTCCTTTGCCAGATGAAGATTGTACTGTTTGGTCCAATCAATTAGATTGGGTTTGAACATACCAAGGCATCTGCACTGAAAAAAGTCTGCAAGATTCTGGAAGCATCCAAGGCTGAAACGAGAAAAACAGCAATTAATAAAGCTAACAAAATAAGACTGCAGGCAACAAAAGATACACTCACACCACGATGCAACGTTTAAGGTACAGTGCTGACCATGACAAGACAGCTCTTGAAGTAACATTAGAATAGTTCTCCTCTAGTCAGCATTATTCCTTTTGGTGGGTCTTTCAACCTCTATTTCATTTAACAAGGAAAAAATGTTCAACTCGAACATTTACAATAGTATTTAGTAAAAGTCTCACCTATTAACACATGGATAAGGAAGGATTTCTAGTCTAACACAAAAACTCTGGTACCAGTTTCTCTACAAGTCAGAAAGGGGTCCATGGATTTTCTTCTCTCTCTAGACACAAACTAGTACTCGAGACTTGTATAATCTTCACCAACACTCACTTGTATGGAGTTCTCCTGAGTGAAATGGGCTGCTTAGAGGACTTGCTCTGCATCAGGAGGTTCATTCTTTCATAGGAGGTCAATCCCAGAAACGCAATCTTCAGGAAAGAGAAACAAGCAATGCTTGAAAGATACACGAACACCTCAGAAACCAAAGCTGCAGCGACACCAAAAGATTTGTACCCACTATTTCAATCTAAAGATTATTATTTCCATGGGAGGTAGGGGCAGTGGGTTGTTACATCTGACAAACAGGCTGCTGCCGCCATACACAGAAAAGTGTTTCTAAATATGTCGCTTAGACTGAAACAGAGTCCAGCAAGTCCTGACAGTAATACTTCCACTGGGAAGGCAAGCTTAATGGGATGACTGCACCTGGATAGCTACAGAAATATAAACAACTAGAGCAGTTCAAGCACTTGTCCCTTCAGATTTTATCTGTGTTCTACCACAGAAATTATTTCATGCCCTGGAAAAGATTAAATAGCTTGCCAAGAAATAAAAATAAGAAATTAGATTTTAGAAATCCAACCCCAGCTTCAATGTTTTCTTAATTCCATGTCATCTGTCACGGGAGTTGCACATTCGGATTTATGGTTAGCTTCAGCATTTTTGCTTAGCTATCCACTTTTATTTTTTTTTTGATCAATATGATCCTCTAAGCCTTTGTAAATGGTTGCATGGTTACTTCACTGAATGTTGGCTTGTACATTTACAAATTACTGTATGCACAAGACACAGTAGGTAATTCTAGGATCCTAACTAGATCCTTCCCTCTCCCCCAAGACGTTATTCCAATGTATTTGACAGCAATACATATTGAATATTCACATACAATTTCTTTTTTTAAAAGAAATCCAAGATGTAAAACAAGTCTCTAGCTCAATATGCTTAAGGTACGTCCAAAAGACATATCTTTCTGAAAACAGGTTTCCTCCCAGATGTTTTAAGCCAGCTCTTTTCAATCTTCCTTGCCTAGCCAAGCTCTCTCTGAGCAAAACAACAGAAGAAATCAACTCAGGGAAGCTGGACACTCCTTAGCAGGATAAAAGCTACTGCAGCAAGGGTACTTCATATGGGCTCTGCTATAGAATTTCCAATTCAGAAATAACTGGCATGGGCAGAGCACTTATACTGTATTTTTGGACACTAACACCAGTTCTATTAGTCAAAATTTCTTTCCTTCAAATACCTTTTTTTCTTTTTTTTTTTTCCTTTCTTTCTTTCTCACAGGTGTGGGATTTTTGATGAACAGTAAAACAAGAACTCAGTTACAAGAATGACTTCTGACTGTGATCCAAATTTACAGAGAACAGTAAGTGCACAAGAACCTGCAAAACTCAAAGGATTGCCTTAGGATTCTGAATATGCCTCCAGACATGCCATTAATTTGATAAGGAAAGAAGGATCCCTGCAGCAGTAATTCACCTAGGGAAATACTYTTATTTGATTGTTCCTTAAGAGGGGAACACAAAGTAAAGGAAACAGTACCTGGTAAAGCTGAGTAATGAGCAGCCGTGAAGCCCACATGGTATGGAAACAGGCTAGTGTGAAGATGTAGAAAACCCACGGGGAGCAATACACGAGCTGGGTGAAGTAAGTCCAGGCCCCATCTTCACGATAACTTGCTGCGCAGTGGTTTGACCAGTCTAATAAACAACACAAATAGCTAATTATATTTTTAATACAGACTCGTTAAGAAGAGAACAAATACTTGCACATGGGATTATGAGGGAACATGCTCTAAAAATATCRTGTTTAATATACTATATATTTGACTGCTTGCTATTCTACATAATTTTTCCACTATATTTTGTGATTCACTCAACAAGCACTTAAGGCACTGGYTAGGTATGGTATTTAAATAAAGTTATTTAGTGACACTTAATCATCATCTTTCATCATCAAGCCTCTGGAATTTTGGCTTCATACTTATTCATGGTTTTAAGGCAAATACTTATAATTTCCCTCAAACATTTTGGATTTACTAATGAGYGTGCAGTTCTCTTTTCAAGGTTTTCAATGTGTTACCAACAAAAAGAAGTTTTTGCAAGGGTTGAATATAGACAGAAAGCAAAGTTAAAATAAATTTATGAATACATACACAGAAGAGTTCCATAAAGCAGCCAGACACCAGTCAAAGATAGGAAAAACAGGAACGATACGTAATAACGATGGTTGCCAACGCCTGTATTGGTGCAAGGAAAAGAAAACGCTGACGTTTTTTATTTTAGAGTATCTGCATTRGTTGACAAAGGCTGACAAAGCTACTTTCTTTCTGAACTTGCTCCTGTTACCATCCCAATTTATTGGGCAGGATTATTCTTTATAAAGCCTAAGAGAACGTATCCCTTCCTCAGCCCAKGCCTTTGATGGTTTTCGGTACAAAAGACTGGATTCTGCTACCACAGCTCTTGTTAAACACAGGACAGCTGCTTTGCATGACTGAAAAAAATCTGTTACAACTTGTTTCACCTCTGTTTTCTTCCGAATTGCAAACATTCATAAAACATTCATAAAAAAAAACAGAGACTTCTGCCAGAAAAACTGTTATATGAAGATATTCTTTTTCTTTTGAGGAAAGAAAAAAAATAGAATTTTTACAGTTTTAACARTTTTACATTCACTTTAACTATCACTTTCAACAATTTTGAGTCTCAGTCTTTTCCTCCTCTCTTCCTTCTTCACTCAAAACAGGAGTCCTAGGCTTTTAAGGCAGCCATTCCACCCCATTAACCATTTTGGTTGTCTGTCTTTCTGCCAATTAACTAGTTACTCTCCACATTTACTAGGGAGAACCCTTCAATATCAACCACCTTTTTTTTTTTTTTTTTTTTTTTTAATCAGGTTTGCTCTCTCTCTCAGGCCATAAACACTAGCACTGCAACTCTTCTAATACATGGTATTTCCCATTTGATAAAACAAAATCCTCACCTATGCACTGGCCAAACCATAGAGAATGCTGATCGTATCTGGCAATGCAGGCATCACAGGCAAGGCAATGTATAGATCTCAAGGGCTTCTTAACCTAGCAGAGCAGGAACAATAAGGTCAGAGCAAAAGTAGCCACGGCCTCATGACGCTGGTTCTGACACCCTCTAAGGGGCGGGGGGAGAATATATAACCAAACTATAACACACTTTCCATGCAATACCTACATGAAAATAAAGGAAGAAAAGGCTTTTTTCTTAAATTACTGTACTGAGTAAAAGCCAGGTTAAAAACAAAGCAAAATAAAACAAAGCATAATCATGAAGAGCTCACTTACAAGACAGGAGGTGCAAAATGTCCTGGAGTCCAAGCAACCTGCCTCCGCGAGAGCGACRATGTTCTGCAAGACAAAGGCAGTCACTCGCAGCTGTGGTCAGGACACAGTTCAGGGGCGCTGTGAGGACTTCCCTTTAACATTASGCCATTTGCACATGTTAAGCAGCAAGTGCCAAGCACCAGCATGAAAAGTACTTGCTATTTATGGACAGAGAAAAGGTTCATGAAAAACAAGCCATGGTATGGACTAATACAATTTTATTTATGCAGTATTTAGAAAAAGATTAAAAAAGGCTTTATGGTGCCAAAATTAATAATGTTAATGTAATGGTCTTAAAAAATAGGATGGTATTAAGATACAAGATCTCTMTTGTACAGGCAGCCAGGCCTCTGAGAGATGAGGAGAGAGGCTGTATTTAGCATTACTTTATCAGTACTGGATAGCCAGTATCTGCAATATTTACTAGTCCTGTGACAACACTGAATAGACTAAAATTTCGGTTTCCTCTCCCTTGCAACCTCGAGAAATGCAACCCCATGGAGAGCAAAGAGAGATCCCCAACAGACACTGTCCACAATACCCGGGTTGGGAATGYCTGGGGTACACCAGACATTAACTTGTCTGCAGTTGTTTGGCCATGAGTTTTTGCCACAACTACAAAAGCCCACGTGTTACAGAAGTCAAACCCCAGGACACAACTTCAAAGCACCCAACAAAATTTAAAACATTTCCAGCACTTAGGATAGCTTATGAGCATGAAGAATTGTAGAATTGTGAATCTCACTATGTTTAGACAGCTGCAGTGAAAATCACACAGAACAGTTATGTTGAAGTGAATTTCTACCTGACGTAACATCACAGACAGCATCAGTGGGGTGGGTCTGTGGGATGTTTAGCTGAGGCTCACATTTCAACGAGAAGACGCAGGAAGGAGACAACAGCGGGATGAAGAAGGAGAGGAGACAAGCACCGAGAGGAAGAATTATTCACAATCTCTGCTGTTTCATGACAGAGCTAAGAACTCTTTAAAAGAAAATAGCATTTCACTGCCTGCAGATTTGGCAAAGAAACATAAGGTGGCAAACCAACTAACCAAGAGCAAACGCATGTTGCAACAGGTGAGCCCTTCCATTTGTTATAAGGAATTACCTACCTCTTTTTTATCTTCCTCTGAAATCTTAATGTATCCAGGATCAGTTCTCCAGGTTTTATAGAAATAATAAAGTAGACCCCCTATGCTGAACATAACAGTAACTTGGAGAACTGTGTCAGCTACATTCAGTATTTAGATTAAGGAACATATACTTAYGTAACACATCACCACTATTCGGTAGACAAATCATACCTACTCAAGCAACGTACAAAAAGGAAAAGGATGATTTTGACGGCAGTATTTTCTCTGTTCCTCGGAGGCCATCTATCAGAGAGGCTGAATATTCTATCTTCAGCTCTGGGGAGAGGSCTTTTACAGCTGATTTGAGCCTGTACTGCAATAAAGCTCCCTGCCACCCTCGCTAGCTGGGTGCAGACTTTTACCTTTGGACACTTAACAGCTAAATCATAAATGTTAAGCTGCTTGTTTATACAGAACTGAGCATATATAGTCATTAGACACAGAACTTGCACTCTGTGAAAGACAGACGCTCATAAATCTGGTGAAAGAGAGAAGAAACCTGGTCAAGATGGTTAGCTCTAACCTCCTAACTTGAGAGCTCAGGTGCCTCAGAAATAGCCCAGGTACAGACTCCATCTCAGGAATCACAGAGCCAGGATACTGAGACTAACTCTTAAAATCGAGTACTTAACCTCCAGGTTGTTTGTCTTATACTAATGTAAGCATAAAGACAAAAGAAGGCATATTTATTTAGWCTATCTACAACTTTATAACTCAAGATTATTTAACCTCCTACCCAAAAAAGTAAAGCAAATCTTAACAGATTTTTGTAGTCTCATGAAATTACTTGGGACTGATGATTACTATTTGTATGACTGGGTTTATGTTCATTAGGAACTGTAAGTAGAGTCTTATCCCATTCCCCAAGCATAAAGGATATCAGGCAGGAACCAGACAAACCAGGTCACACACATCCAAAACACTGAACTTAGCAAAAAAGCTGTAGGAAGATATCTTAGATTCCTGAGCCCCACAAATCGCCTGAAAGATTAAAAAAAAAAAAAAAAAAGATTTTATTTAAAACTTAACACCACAGAAGAAAAATTTATCTTAAAACCTTTACTCAGGATACCTTCAAGCAATTAAAAGCTGCTGCTCAAGTAGATTGTTTAGTCAAACAGGTGAAGGAATACCAAAGCAAAACCAAAAAACCCTGAAGAGTGCTCTGCTGCGGTGTAACCTTAAATATCAGAATTCTGCAGCAGTGTGCTAAAGACAGAATCTCTGTAAGACAGAATCTCTGTCTTTAGCACTACACACAAGTAGTATTGTCATTTCAATTTTTAAGATAACCATAGAAGCAAGCAGAAAACCTGAAGAATAGCTTGGGATAATGCTGACAAGTCTGAGTAACAGAGAGASGGAATAGTTCATTAAAAACCTATACTGTGTCACAAACCAAGACAATAAAAATGAGATAAAGCACAATTTTAAGCATTGTGAATGGATACCTCAATGAGCACCAGGTGCAGATCTTCAGTAAAAATCTCTTTAACATAAAAGTTATTTAACAGTCTTAGTAATACTTGTTTTTCCTCAAGATTTCAGTGTTGATAAACTTGTTTCACACACCTGAAAGTGATGGGTTTCTAGTGTCATTCTGAAAATGATCTATTTACATATATATAAAAATAAACCCGTCACAGAAGTATCAACTATTTTCAAAAATTATTTTACAGACCAAATGAAATTATAAACTTTGAAAAAAATATTGCATCAGATGTCAAATATGGCATCCGGGGCAAATAAACACACGTACAGAGAGAAAAGTTTACAAACCTCACAAACAGAGTCATTCCAAAGAGTATCAAGAAAAGCAGACTCCCTTTCAAAAGCCACGAATCAGAACTTAAGTCCATTACATATCCTATGACCCACATCAACGTCAAGGAAGATGCCAACAGCAGGAGAATCTATTAAAACAATTGTTAAATTATTGTTAAAAATAAGGAAACCTTCAAGTAAGCTTTACTTCCAAAGTATTCAGGTGATAAAACAATGAAGGATACTGACAGAAAACACAAAGTAACATAACAAACCACCACAGAGACTCATAGATACCCCACACGTACATGATTACAGATTGATTTCTATGTGCCCAATTTTGAAAACCTTAGAGGTAGCCTGTGCTGTTACACAAGAGGGATGTTATATATTATTCTAAACATATAATGCCGTAGCTTTATTTCTAATAGTTTTCCTCCCAAAGTTACCTCATATTTCTCTATTATTCTCAGTAACCTGCTGTTTTTTCTGCTTCTTGTTCTTTCTTCCTCAGTCAGCATGTAAACAATGAAGTGATTTTGAGCTTCACGAGCAAGGTCAAGCGGCGTCTCCCCCTAGAACAGTAAAAACAAGTGCTTGTTTCTTTATGTATTTAACACACAAATATTTACCTTTGTAACAGCAGCATCTGAGAAGGAAACACTGGTTATGTCCACAGCGAGCAAAAGGCTTGGCTGTTCACTGGATGAATGCTGCAGAGTTTCTATGCATCCTTTGTGCTACACACCAGAAAAGTTCTAACTCCTTTTGACAAAAAGTAAGAATACCAGTTACTGGTCACTACCGGTCACTTGGATATCAAGTATTTAAAGGAGAACACTAAGACTGTTCTGCAAATTAACTTTATAATATCAGATGTGATGAAATACCAGGAGTGAAATTGCACCTTGCCGTTTCTTATGTCCATGCTAGCACCAGCTTCCAGCAACAGATCCACAGCACTAATATTCCCAGATGTTACTGCCCAGTGCAATGCCGTGTTCTTTCGAACGTTGTCTACAGCATTGAGAGAAGGATTAAACTTCAAGAGGAACCTTGTAGGCTCTGGCCTAGAGGGAAACCAAGTATAAAAGTTAAAGAATCCAGTGCAGATTGCTGTTTTTGTTAAAAGACAAATAAGAAAAAAAAAAAGAAAAAAAAAAAAAGATTTGAACTCTGAAATAACTGCAGATACAAAATGCCTTCTCTCAGAACAAGCTCATCAACAATATGTTCAAGCTTCAAGATCAGGACTTGCCTGAAGTTTTTTTCTAGACTATACCATCTCATCAYTTCAACAGATAAGAGGCATTTGGGCAGTTTGTAACTTTATACAACACTGGCTGTAAGCTTTAAACACTCCATTATTATAATGTACTTTACTGTGACAAGCACCATGTATTTTCACCTCTAGAAGAACAGGTGTGCTGCAGCCATTCCAGCTGCCTACCTAAACTTTTATTAAAACCTTTTGTCTTTTTTTATTATATCCACTTAGGTGCTTCAGACTTWCTAATCTCTGAAATAATACATGTCTTAGTATGACTAAAAGGGAAAGAAATACCAGTTTAACAAATTTTTCAAAAACAATATATATTTTTTTCTTCATCTAATGTCTAGGTACAATAATACAAGACTCTTTTAGAGTTATCCACTACTTACCCAATTGCTTTCTGTGCCGATATCATTAGAGGTGTTTGTCCATTGAAGTCTGTTGTGTCTACACTCTAAGCATATATACATATAAAATGATGATTAATGGCAATTTCTGACATTCAGAGACAACAGACACACACACAGCCAGACTCTCAACAACAGAACTGGCTTAGCTTCACTGGAGAAAAGAAACCACAGGACATCATGCAAGAAACAAGCATTCACTTAAAATATTTGCCTTCTGTGGGGCCTGCCTGTCATTTCCTTCAGAAGATGCTGAGAGGCTTCTACTAAGGGTATTCAAGGGAACTGCACTAACCAAATTTCCTTTTCTGCCCATAGAATATACTTCAGAAAGCATTTTTTAGCAAATGTTACACTTGTCAGTTCTGCCTACTTCAGATGTAACCTAAGCATATATTAATTACAGTGTGTGTAAGGTAAAATAAGCAAAAATTAAAATTTCTCATTAAAAATCAGATGTAAAAAAAAAAAAAAAATTAGTTTGACCCTCTATTCTATAGACTTCAGCTAGGGGCAACTGCACTGATTCCTAGTGATGAATATAAGCAATAAATACTCCATGGTGTATATGATTTATACTACATAACAAATCTGCATAGCCTAAGCACTGTGCTCAGACACCGTGAGCTGTATAGRGATGACAATATAACAAAAAGAATAAAAATGATTAAGGATCTCTAGACTTAAGGCCCAGGGAAATACTTGCCAAACACCTGCTTGTCAAATAGGAAATAAAGCAAACAGTGTCTGTATTTGCATACACAGGCAGCTGCTCTTAAGTAGAAAACAGCCCTTGGGACACCAGCAACATACCTGGCCTTTAGATATGAGGTAAGCTATAACAGGAATGTGTTGAAACAGCACTGCCAAATGAATGCCACTGAATCCTTCCCCGTCAATGAGGCTGGCATCTGCTCCACTCTTCAACAGCAAAACGACCATAGGCAGGTGTCCTTGCCTGTAAARGCATGTGAAGGGAAACTATGCAGATGAGGAAAAACAAACAAACAAACMAAAAACTGGAAATCTTAATGAAAGCTGCCTTAGCAATTTTTTGAAAAAGATACACTTTAAATATATATACGCACATATATATTTTAAAAAGTTTTCCAAACCTTTTATTTTTATCCACAAAATTACTTTTACAAAAGTAAAACCTTACCCTAGGTCACATACATCTATAATACAAGCCAAGCCAAAGCAGTAACTTAGAACATAGTGAAGGGTCAATAACTTCACCTGTTGGCATTCTTTCTTAGATATGTCTTTGTTATGCAGTAGACCAAGGCAGCCCAAAGAAACCCCTGCTCAAGTGAGAATTTTCACTCAAAAAGGATTTCCAGCTAATRGATTTTTTTAGAAAATAGAATTTTCCAGCTAAGTAGATAAACACTACTTTGCTCTTCTGATCACTTTACTCAAGTTGTGTCTTTGTGAAGCCAGAACTATAGTGTTTTAAACTATACCATGCTGAAGAGATGGTCTACGCGCACAAATATGYAGAAGGGTAGATAAGAGCCATCCAGCACACCCAGGCCCCAGCAACTCCTACTGCTTGGAAAGGGATACCCCGTGTTTTGGGTGCCTGCTATACATATTCCGAGAAGAAAAGCTAACGTGGCTGGAGCAGAAGGACAAAAACATCTTCATGCTCTTGAGCAACCAAATACCTTAYGCTGGTGCAGCTAACAAATGTACACCTGGCAGCAGTAAGCAGCATACCTAACGGCCCAGTGAAGGGGAGTCGAATTGAGATCTCCACCGAGCTGATCCACTACCGCACCTTTGGAAATATAAAACCTGCAAGAACAGCACAGCAAGATTAATAATAGCCACATAATAAAACATTATACTAAGGGTAACACTGCTCCAGGAGTAAATAGATTGTGATCAAGAAACTTTCACTAAAGAAGTAAATCTGCAAGAACATTCTGCAGTAAAGAATGGTGCTCTGAAAAAAAAAAAAAAACAAACCACAAAACAAAAAGCAGTAACTAGCAAGGCACTTCTAACACCAGTTTGAATTTCTGCTAAACAAAACAAGAAAGTCCAATTAATTTTTGTACTACAGAACTCCACAAAGAAAACGAACAGTGGTACCTTCACCTTTCAGTGACGTTTTCACAAAGGTAATGGGGCTACAACTTGGAACTTTTTCCTCTAAAGCAGCATATCCCATTTGTTTTAAAAAGCAATCAAAAATGGTGACCGTAATTAAGCGAAGCAGAACTCCTGTGCTGTTTTTACTGATTGCTCTAATTGTGAACTACTGTTCGCGAGGCCTCAGCACTTGCCTGGCCAGCTCCTGCCTGTTGTTTATTGCTGCCCAGTGAAGCAGAGTCACGTTTTCCTTGTCCGGTTGCCGCACATCGTATCCCGCTTCTACCAGCTCCTTGCATCGCTCTAGTAATCCATACCTAACATGAGACAGGAAAAAGATAGTGGATTTATTTATAGTTCAGTTGTTTAAAAGAAATCTCATATATACGAACATCACATACTTAAGGACACCTTAGCAAGCCTCACCCCACAGCTCCTCCTGGAGCAAAATTCCACATTGCATTACACGGCTCACAAAAAGCATTGAAGCTAGCCCTGATATACAGAATATTTTTACCCCTTACGACGAATTGGATTTGATTGCTGGAGCGTGCACGCTGTTTAGCATTAAAACCGCTTCCAGGGGCCTCCCGCGGCCCTTTCGAGCCCCGGCTGAGGGCAGCACGCGGCGCGCTGCGCCCGCTCCCCACAGCAACGCGGGGACGGGTCGCGCACTTACTGCGTGGCCTTGACAACGTCCCAGGCGCCGGCGTCCGCCGCGAACGGGCCGGGCCGCGGCGCGGGCTCCGGCTCCGGCTCCCGCTCCAGCGCATGGCGGCAGCCGCTCGGGAGCGCCGCGCGGCACGGCGCTTTGCCCTGCGCGGATCGGGAGACACCGTTGGCTCGCACGGGCGCGGCGCCGGGAATGGGGACGCGCGCGGGCGGCGGGACGGGATGGAACGGGACGGGGCGGGGCGGCAGGGAGGCGCTTCCCCGGGACACACGTGATTTCCAGGAAAACGCGGCCCCGGTGCCACGGCAGCAGGGATCCCCGCCGCGAACGCCCCGCGCTGCCCAGCACGCGGCGGCGCCGCCCGCCCCGCGCGGCCCCAGCGCGCCCCGCGGCGGCCGTTAACGGCCCGCGGC